TAAGAGGCTCTTAGTGCATCTGGCAACACTTCAAACATCTACAGAAGCAATCTGAACAACAGTAATTTACCACCATCAGCTCCAATGCACGTAGACTGGCTGATGCAATATAAGCATGGAACTGTCCTAAAAAAAATCTAAATGGTTGGCCAGTCCAAAAGGTGACTATATGCAAAAGATATCTTGCTCTGTCCTCTTAACTCTGGCTTTTTGATTCCCCATAACCACCTCCACCAGTGTGTAATTTGTTTCTCTTGCACATTTTAATAGCCTTTAATAAACTGAAGACCATCACATATCGTAAAAGATTTTTCTCTTTAGGTGGATGAAAAATGTTATTCAAATTTCATTTGGAAGACACTTCCTACCCATTTAGGCTATTCTTTGTCATTTCAAGGATGATCCTTGTGAGATTCCACATGCTGAAAAAGATCCCTACCTACCACATATAGCAAATACATTGAAACGTATTTCTGGCCTTTAGTATATGGCAGGAGGAGATTCTAGTTCAGGACTCTCATGCATTTAGCAAGGCAAACTTCCTGAATTTCTTGGCAATACTTAATTTTATACAAGGGGAGCTAACTTAAAAAATCTGCTATCTGCTTTATCAATATTTAATTTGTTACATGATATTGTGGGTGGCATATGGAATGAAAAGTTTTGACTCCAATCTCTCATTGTTATTGCATTCACACTGAATTTAACATTCCAGATGATTAAGCTACTGTTAAACTGTGAAACTGAGAAAGAGAAAGCAACTGCTCCAAGTCTCAGATGGACTGTGAATTGCAGCTGGCATTAAAACTTAAGGTCCTGTTAAAGAAAAGTTGTCAAGTCATTTGTCAATTAAAATCTAGTAAATCATATTCTAGAGATTCTACATAATATTTTTAACTCTCTACCCCACTGTCAAAAAAATACCTCTATTGGTTTAGGGCTTGACAGAACAAACATACAGCAGTGTCTATGCTTTCTCTCAGTAACCTGGGGGATAATACACAATTGTCTCCCTCAGAGAAGTATTTATGAGGATTCAATGATTGTGAAGTGCTCTGAACATATAAAGTGCTTATTAATATTGCTATCAGATCTACTCGAAGATGGAAAAACCAAAAATTGACATGGAAGTGAGGGTA